TTGTGTCCGGTTCGGGTTCTAGATTTCCTGTTTTACTTTGTAGGTCTGTGTCTCGTTATGCCCATTAAGTTCCAGCTGTGTCCCCTCCTGTGTGCCATTTCCTCATTACCTGGTGTGTGTATTTATAGTTGGTGTCTGCCTGTGCTCCTCGTCGGCTCGTCTGCGTTCATCCATGTATCACTGCGTTCCTCCATGTAGCTCTGCATTCTAGGGTGTTTCGTTCCTGTCTCTGCGTCTCTCTGCCCCGCACCCCTTTTGTATGGTCTCAGGTTTGTCTTTAGTTTCTCCCAGTTTAGGTTTGTAATTGCTCATGTTGAGTTGCCTGTTTTTGCCACCACCACCACCTTGTAAATAAACATCACTCTGTCATCAGTTCGCTGCATCTTGGGTCCTCCTTTTCCTCCACACCACACGGCTCCCTCCGCCAGCCGTGACAGTGACAGTGTGAACGGCACAAATCCGATCTGGGTCACTTTCGTGTGTGTTACTGAATCCGATACATATCCGATGTTTTAGAAAGTGACTGCTGTTTGATGGTCATGTCGCATTAAATCTGTCTTTTACGTCACTGACACATGACAGACGCCAATTATCAGCGCCGAAGAAGACATCACGAACGCTTCCTGTCCGTCCAGTACAACTGTTGGGAAGACAACGTTGGAGAAACGTGAACATTTTATTTGTACTGCATAATCTGCAGATTCTGACAGAAATCTGCAACTATCCTTTGAAGCACCGTTGCTCTAAAACAGAATTAAGGATCATTATTAGGTTATTTACATTATTATGTAAATAACAAAATAACTTAAAGCAAAAATTGGGAAACGTAAAGTCCGAAGTCTTTATATTAAGGGCCATCAGTCAAACAATATTGTTTGTTCTGGGTCTAAACAGAGCGCGCTGTGTGTGACGTCTTCTTTTGCGCATGCGGCCGCTTTGAGCGTTCACACTAGAGCACAGAAACAGCTTTAGTGAAGGTTACAAATGATCTTCTTATGGCCTCTGACAGTGGACTCATCTCTGTGCTTGTCCTGCTAGACCTTAGTGCAGCATTTGATACTGTTGACCATAATATCCTATTAGAGCGATTAGAACATGCTGTAGGTATTACAGGTACTGCACTGCAGTGGTTTGTATCATATCTATCTAATAGACTCCAATTTGTGCATGTAAATGGAGAGTCCTCTTCACACACTGAGGTTAATTATGGAGTTCCACAGGGTTCAGTGCTAGGACCAATTCTGTTTACATTATACGTGCTTCCCTTAGGCAGCATCATTAGAAGACATAGCATACATTTTCACTGCTATGCAGATGACACCCAGCTCTATCTGTCCATGAAGCCAGATAACACACACCAATTAGTTAAACTGCAGGAATGTCTTAAAGACAAAGACCTGGATGGCCGCTAACTTTCTGCTTCTTAATTCAGATAAAACTGAGGTTATTGTACTCGGCCCTGAAAATCTTAGAAATATGGTATCTAAGCAGATTCTTACTCTGGATGGCATTACCTTGGCCTCCAGTAACGCTGTGAGGAACCTTGGAGTCATTTTGACCAGGACATGTCCTTCAACGCACATATTAAACAAATATGTAAGACTGCGTTCTTCCATCTCTAAAATTAGAAATATCCTGTCTCAGAGTGACGCTGAAAAACTAGTTCATGCATTTATTACTTCCAGGCTGGACTACTGTAATTCATTATTATCAGGATGTCCAAAAAACTCCCTGAAAAGCCTTCAGCTAATCCAAAATGCTGCAGCAAGAGTCCTGACAGGGACTAGAAAGAGAGAGCAGATTTCTCCTGTTTTGGCTTCCCTTCATTGGCTTCCTGTTAAATCCAGAATTGAATTCAAAATCCTGCTCCTCACATACAAGGTCTTAAATAATCAGGGCCCATCTTAGCTTAATGACCTTGTAGTACCATATCACCCTATTAGAGCACTTCGCTCTTGCTCTGCAGGCCTACTTGTTGTTCCTAGAGTATTTAAAAGTAGAATGGGAGGGAGAGCCTTCAGTTTTCAGGCCCCTCTTCTGTGGAACCAGCTTCCAGTTTGGATTCAGGAGACAGACACTATCTCTACTTTTAAGATTAGGCTTAAAACTTTCCTTTTTGCTAAAGCATATAGTTAGGGCTGGACCAGGTGACCCTGAATCCTCCCTTAGTTATGCTGCAATAGACGTAGGTTGCCGGGGGATTCCCATGATGCATTGAGTTTTTCCTTTCCAGTCACCTTTCTCACTCACTATGTATTAACAGACCTCTCTGCATTGAATCATATCTGTTATTAACCTCTGTCTCTCTTCCACAGCATGTCTTTTATCCTGTCTTCCTTCTCTCACCCCAACCGGTCGTAGCAGATGGCCGCCCCTCCCTGAGCCTGGTTCTGCCGGAGGTTTCTTCCTGTTAAAAGGGAGTTTTTCCTTCCCACTGTCGCCAAAGTGCTTGCTCATAGGGGGTCATATGATTCTTGGGTTTTTCTTTATATCTATGAAGCGCCTTGAGGCGACTTATGTTGTGATTTGGCGCTATATAAATAAAATTGAATTGAATTGAATTGAACTAGAGCGCGTTTGCTGTCGCATTTTATTTGTAGTGTGAACGAGCAGACAAAAAAAATCGGATTTGATCAAAAAATCGGAATTGAGCATTAAGACCTGCAGAGTGAACGTAGCCTTAGAGATGGGGTGAGGAGTTCATCCACCCAGGAGGGGCTCAGAGTAGAGCCGCTGCTCCTCCACATACAAAAGAGCCAGCTGAGGTGGTTCGGGCATCTGACAAGGATGCCTCCTGAGGGCCTCCCGGGTGAGGTGCGTACAAAAAAGTGTTTGAACGTGAAAACGATCCAACGCATGAACCTGAACTCAGTATTTGTTCATGTTTGCACGTACACGTTTTTAAAATCGTTTGACATGAGCTCAGACTGCTCACGTGTTTGTGTGTGGATCGGAGCACGCACACGTGCACACAAATCCCTGCACACGTCTGTCAATCAGAGTTTACACTGGTGGATCGTATCGGAACACTAGCTCCTGTGCAGCGAGTCCCGTCGTGAAATCTCCTCACTGCTAAATATTCCACAGTTAGTGAAAGTGACTGGGAACGACAGCAGCTCAGGCACGACGAGCTCGGCCACGTGAAATCAGCAGGTCAGCAGAGGCTGAGGATCACGGTGCTCAGAGGTCTTGACTTTCTGGAGAGTTAATCGCTACAGTCCTCCAAACTTCACGTGGCCTTCAGATTAGCTCAAAAACAGCGTGCAGAGTTTCACGGAATGGGTTTCCACGGCGACCAGCTGCAGCCAAGCCTCACATCAACGCAAGGCACTAGGGATGGGTACCGGTGTCCGGTGCCATGATGGCACCGGTTCTGACATAAACAGTAGTAACCAGACCGAAAAGCAGCGCACATTTCGGTGCTTTATTTCGGTGCTTTTTTTTCCTGAGCTGTGATACACTTCTAGCCAATCATTTTACGTTTCCGAGGATAGTAGGCGGGCCCAGGTATGTACTTTCTTTTAGAGCAGAGCTACAGATTAAAAATGCCCAAGGCGAAGCGGTCAAAAGTCTGGCTGTACTTCACAGCAAAATATGCAAACTCAGCAGCCTGCAACAAGTGCTTTAAGCTGATACTGTGATACTGTCAAAGGAGGTAACACCTTGAATCCGATGAAACACCTGGCGACGCATAGCGGTTTTTTTAAAAGCCCAGAAATGCGCCGTATTTGATAGCTTGCTGCGAGACCTCACACCGAGCGCATCTACCGCGGGTGGGTTGCCTGTTATGCAACATCCCCCAAAAACACGAAGAGGAGAGTCCTGGCCCCTAGCCCTGCCAGTGTAGCAGAAATGATGACGGATGATGATGGCAGCAGCAGCCGTTCTTCTCTGTGTGAGTAGCTTAATGTTGTTCATGTGTAGGCTAACCACGTTATTACATTAATGCATGTAAGGTGAACTAGCAAACATCATCATAGCTACATGCGGCTGTCTTCTTGTTTGATGGCAGATGCTCCCTTCACCCTGGCCCAAAAGGCTAAAATGACCAAAGAAAAAGTGGAAAACAGTTAAACATGAGAGGTTTAGGACAAAGTTTGTGTTTTTTCCATTGTTTAAGCACTGCTTCCAGCCAAGAGTGATACCATATATGCCCCATAGCTGCAGAAAAGGCTAACATTGTTATCTTTTTACAAAAAAACAGCTGAATATGAGAGGTTTTTGGACAAAGTTTGTGTTTTCCATTCTTTAAGCACCGGTTTGAGCACCGTTTAAGCACCGGCACAGTTTCAAAAGTACCGATTTGGCACCGGTATCGGATAAAACCTAAACGATACCCATCCCTACAAGGCACACAGCGGAGCAAAGCACGGCGCCACTGTACTCTAGAGCAGTGCTCTCTGGGACAACCGATCAAACTCTGGGTTTGGTGGTTGCCAGGAACGGTACTGGTCCGACTGCACTGTGCCAGGTTTGGTGGAGGCGGGGTGATGGTGCGGGGCGGAGCAGGACGCCTCCTCGGCCAGGAGAGCTCAGAATACCGAAGTAGTGTGATATAATTACTCCTGTGTATAAACCGCCGCCCCTCTTGTAAAGCGGGTGTCTACATGCTTACTGTGGCCGAGCTCTCTGCACTCACCCTTGACTGCTGGTTTATGCACAAAGGGCAAAAAAGAACCTTGAACCTTGATGGCGTGACAGAAGAAGAAGAGCGTGCTCAGGGCGCCATGTGACCGAGCCAGGAAACTTGTCAAAGTTAAATTTTAATTAGAAGTTTTGGGAACACGAAGTCAGAGCGGCTTCATCGCGGTTGTCACGGTGATCCTCAGAAATGAAACCGAGCAGAGATTCAGTTTAAAACAGGCGAATTTAAGAAGAACCTTAAATCAACACAAGAACTAAAAGACACTGATCTCCAATTAAAGACCCTGGGGGAGGGGCGGGGCTCTCTGAAACTCCACAATCAACCAATCGACCAATAAACCATCAGGAAACAGAAGTCACGGCATCACTGTTTTATTAAACAACAAAAAACATTTGATTGATTTTAAAATGTCAGAACAACAAAAACGTTTGATTGAGAGAAAAATTTCATTCATGATTCCGGAAAGTTTGAAGCTTTTTTGGGTTTTAGAGCCGAAGCTAAGACGACGAGAAGGAAACATCATCATCGTCACTGAGCTGCTGCTGTCTTCACTGATCAGGACATCCGGCCGCTCAGATGACAGCGCGGACACTTCCTGTTCCAACTTTCTTTCTCAGCACCTCGACCAGACGCTCCAACCTGAGGAGAAAGATTTCCCGTTAGTGACGCTGAACTCTGATGTTCTGACGAGGTTTGTAAGAGCTCGGTGATGATGATGGCGGTGATCCTCTGTGGCCACTGCTCTGATGCTGTGACCTCAGTTCTCTGACTAACGGGAGGAAATGATGAGGAAAGTGAGAGGAAGATGAAATGTGTGTGTGGGGGGGGAGCGACCTGAATGACTTTCCAGCAGTCGGCGATGCTCGCTCACTCTCACTCTCTCTAAATCAAATTAAACTTCCCTCTGTAATACCCCCCACCCCCACCCAGAGCAAATATTCCTCTCCGCTGTTCAGAAACTTGGGAGGCTCTTCAGCGCCATGCGCCCCCCCGCTGGCAGCCAAATTAGAGCGGAAAGCCACGGGTTTGAGCCCAGGAGGACAGTGCGGGACGCAGACGGACGACTTAAGCTGTTTTCATCATGAATCTCATCCCTTCATCTTCAACTGATGAGCCGCCGCGCCGCAGCAGAAGAAGAAGTCACGTTATCCGGCGTCGGAGCGCCATCCTGCAGGAGCAGGAATCTGACGGATTAATTCTCCTCATCGGCTCGCCGCAGACACTCGCACACCCTCGTCTGCTGAATATGAATCATCACACCAAATCTCCTTAGTCCCACATGCTTAACCGGTCTTTGAACGCCTCCCGGAGTCTGTGAGACTTTCCGAGGCAACTTCACCGATCGGTCACTGTGCTCTCGCCGGACTGTCCAGAGAACCAGCTTATTGATCACCTGCACAAGAGATCAGTGAGCCAATGAACAGGTGACAAGGTTTGCACCTGGATAACATCTGTCAGGAGAAATCAAACATCTGGCTCTCTCTAGGAGTCTCACGGCTGAGTTAGGACCTCGTCTGACCTCTGACCCTCAGGCACAGTTATTTCCCGATCGATCAGCTCGGATCGTCAGCCTGTTTCAGGCTCTCGGCTCAGAGTCACGTGCTCCTGCCGTTGATGAAGAGCAGCGCAGAGATAAAATCTCCTCAGGCTGAAGAACAGCTACTCAGATGTTGCTGCTAATTTAAACCGCAGCGGATTTCAGGGTCCTACGAACTTTTATTTGTGATGTGAACAAGGAGACTCGCCGGGAGCCTGAAAGCGTCATCATTCTTGCCGACCTGTCCCAGCAAGCTCTGAGGGTTCAGTACCTGCCCGTCACACCTGTGGGCCACAAACAGCAGCTCACCTGATGTTTCCTGACAGCTGCGAGGCAGTTCAGTAATCATTATTAATAATACATAAAGCCATGTTTCAGAGCTCACCACTGGCAGGCTGTCCGCACAGTTCTCTGTGACGACATCAAACAAAAGAACGTTTATTTTGTTTGATGGACATTCTTTAGGTAAACCTTTCCTCTGCGTCAAACGTGATTGACACCGTCAGCTCACCATGAAACGCCACCACTGGAGTCTCCACCCGTCATTTCGAATGATTTTAGAGACACGGTTTCTAAAATCATGAGAAATAAGCCGGGCACGGCTCTGAACGCTCGAGGAGAAGACCTCGCCATCGTCAGAGCTGAGGGACATCTTCATGCAGAAAAACTTCTTCAGGCTTGCCGGGCCGAACCGCAGAGGTCCGAGTTTGGTTCCTGTCATCATAAAAATCCTCTCCCACAGTCTGCAGAGACTCTCAGCCGTTGCAGGTCTTTAAAGCTCGGTTCAGTCTGCAGTAAAATCGGCCCTCTGGACCTGAAACTGGGCTGAAGCTACGCTGCAGATTCTCTCGAGTTTCATTCCTCTGTTTTTGTTCTTCTTCTGAGCAGCAGCGTGTGATTACTGTGCGATGAAGAGGAGGAGTGCTCTAACATTAAGCTACTGTTATGCACCAAGTGGGTAAAACTGATGTTCACGTCTCCCAAACCTTAAAAAATCAGATTCGATTAATTTGAAGAACTGTTAGATTCACTCTGATACAGACACAACGACGCGCTGCGTCTGCGGCACGGCGGCAGCTTCATGAGCAGAACCGAAACACCAGTCGCCACAACATTAGTACCACGTACCTAATGTTGTGTGCCCCCCAACGTGGTGGCATGTCACACACGGTGGGGGGGGGGTTCTCCCGTTTTCTGTTCTCCTGTAGACTCTGAGCTGATTGATGACTTAGCGTGACATCAGAGTGTTTCTGTTGTCATGGCGATTGCAGCAGAACATACAAAAATATTATACATGGCTTCAGCAGCAGCAGCCAATCAGAACAGAGAACGCAACAAACAGGAAGTGAAGGCTCTGACCTGCGCACTTGCTCAGTGGCCTCTCGCTCTGCCTCCTGGCAGCGCTGAAGCTCCGCCTCCACGCTCTGCTTCTCCTTCATCAGCTGCTGCAGCTTATCCATCAGGGGTGGGGCCTCAGGAGAGACGCTATCAGCTCGCAACGAGGGCTGGGAGGGCGGGGCTAAGTCCTGAGATCTGAGAGGGGAAGAGGAGGACGTTCCTGTTAAACTGACAGTCAGAGTGCATGCTGGGAAAAAAATGGGTTTATTATATATTTATTTTATATTTTCAGAAACTTAAAAATATGAAAACGATTCTTTATAATAAATAAATAAAACAAACTGGCTAACAGGTAAAAAAGTGATGAAGAACCAGTGAGCTTCCACACGTTCACACATCCAACTGTAAACACTGAGGGAAACAGACGTCGACCAGCAGTTTATTTAAAAAGCACTTAAATAAAAATGATTCAGAGGCGGCAGTGTGACGTGAGCTGCAGCACATCAACAGGTATTATTGATTATTATTGATTATTGAGCTTCAGACGGCTTTAAAGCTGCTGTGATCGTCAGCGCGAAGCAGCTGATAAATAATCGATCGGTGGGATATCGATAGGTGCTAGGTTACTTAAAGGTAAACAGACAGGTCAGAGGCACTGTTGGCCAAGTTACTTTGAAAAAGTAATTAATTATAGTTACTAGGTTCTTCTTCAAAAAAGTAACTGAGTTACAAGATTCTAAAGGTATTTAATTACTTGAAAAGTAACTATTGTGTTACTTAAAATAAACGTTTAACCCTCTGAGGTCCAGGGTATAATTGGCCATTTTAACCACTTTGATGTTTCCTCCACATTTCACCTTTAAAAACTGTTTATTTGCCGTGTTTGGTATCATCCTTTTCAGCACAACCTCACGTGTCTGAATTTACAGTCATGTTTTCATTCTGACTACTGTATTAACAACATTGATCTAGAATCAGACAAAAAACATAAAATCTGAGTAGAAAAAGTTATTTTTTACTGTAACAACCACAAACATGTTTATTGAATCATATTTCATAACTTTAAATGCAAATATTTGTCAGTTTTAAAATCTATGCACAAGTTTTGCAAACAAAGTTATTTGCAGCCATTTACCTTTTACCCTTTTTTTTTAAACCACTTAAACTGTTTACAGAACAATCAGCTGTTCTGCATTTAATAAGACAAATTATTTGTGCCACTCCAAACACGCTAAACGTCACAAATCTCTCACATCTCGCTCTCTCTTTTTCCACTCTCTCTCTCTCTCTCCGTCACTCCTAAATCTTCCTCCTGTTCCTAAACAACAAACGTCATGTTGCCATATCATTTTTTGATTGGTTGACATGGTGCATTGTTCCACCAACATGAACGGGCTGTTTTTTTGTTTTGTTTGAGCAGAGAGGTCTCGCTGCTGTCCTTAGACAGTAAACGTGAAGCTATTCAGGAAAAACAGGCGTATAAATTGTTTATCACGACTCTGGTTTTACTGGCCCATCAACACCGTTTATAAACTGGTATACGTCACCTTGTTGCTTTGTCATCTTGGTCATGTGATTGTTTACCACAACTACTTTATTCTTCCTCAGTCAAACAGCAGCACTCATGCGATTGTTTTGCCTCCTGAGCTCCAGGTGTTGTGCTAGACAGTGATCGCGATCGCGGTCCGCGGGAGTGCGCAGCTGCTTAAAGCTGCAGCGTCCAGATTACTTACAGCTACTTCCTGCAGCTGATATAAGCTGCAATAAACTGAACACAGCTTCAACCGTCTGTTTGGTGAAAAATAGTAACGCGACCGCATTTTGTTGTTAGTAACGGTAACGGCGTTGTAACGATAGGAATGGTAATTAGATTACTCGTTACTGAAAAAAGTAACGCTGTTATCCCCATCACTGGTCAGAGGTCAAAGTTCAGACCAAATTAGAAACAGAACACTTTAAAAACAGAAGAGAGGAACCAACAGCATCGTCGTCAGGACCTTCAGCAGTTTTCTGATCCTCGTGCTGCATCTGATATTTTCTCACTTCATCACACTCGACCGCTTCAATTCTGCTGAAACGTTTTCCATGTTGGAGCAGGACGTCCTAAAACTTCAATTTGTGGTTCAGCACAGCTCATATAAATCCATAAAACTGAATGAAAGGAAAACAGGAATACAATGCATACTAGGGCTGGGCGATATATCGAGTTTTTTAAAAAATATCGATATATTTTCATACGAGATATAAGATGTGACAATATCGTTTATATCGATATAGTCTATGTTACGTTATAATTATACTTGTGGAGCCGCAGGTTTGCCTCTCTTTCGTCCACTTTTGTCTCTACGCAACGTTACTCGGCCTCGCCTCTCCTTCACTGAACACAACTCCGCCTCCCCCATAGCTTCACCTGCAGGCAATGACAAGATGAAAGCGGAAAATCTCCGTTAGCGAGTTACCGCGGATCGCCCCGTGCGTGGGGCTGGACGGCGTCAACGTGTTAGCGAGCTAACGACATGCAGCCCGGAGGGGCTGCACGGCCTAAAATCCTTTCATTTTCTCAAAAATCGACAGTGCGCCTTATGTATGAATTCTGGTTGTGCTTACTGACCGCGAACCGATTTTATGTGGTACACAGCGCTCAGCAATCTGTCAAAAATGTTTTATTATGACTTTGCTAAGCTACGGAGCTGCACTGCTTGATGGATTGTCGGAGGATTACGGCTACCGGGGAGGAGCCTCGCGGAGTGATACGTACTGTGCTTCAACGTAATATTACCGTACTGTGTGTGTATAAGGACCACAAACGGCACCTGTTCAGAGATGTGGTGCAGCTGTGAAATCTGTCTCTTTGTTATTATGCTCAGCGTCTATTAGTTTACATTTTGACTGCACAATTGTGAGCTTTTTGTTATGCACAAAAACAACCTTGTTTTCTTTTATTTATGGACCATGTTTATTTAATAAATGCTGATAATTTATTTTTGAGTAATTTCTTCATGTACATCTACGCTGTATGTAAATAAAAGTGCCCGTGTGACATCTGGGACACAGTGTGACTAAGAACTCTCTTTTTGTTCTTAACTTATGGCTTTAAAAAAAAAACCGAGATATATATCTTATATCGCCATCCAGCTAAAAAATATCGAGATATGAATTTTGGGTCATATCGCCCAGCCCTAATGCATACACACAGTGTTAATATCTGAGAATATCTTAGTGATAAGCACCGTTTGAAACATTTAAAGAGTAAACACACAAAGACAACCACTGATGAGCGGTCACAGACGCCGCTGCACCTGTCCGAGAGTCTGCAGAAACCATTCCTGAATCTCAGACGTCGACATCAGCGAGAGACATCTCTCCAACTTCATGGTGACAAAGCAGACACCCGACGTCACACAATATTACATCGAAGGCACAAACACAAAAACACGTCCGACGGGAACAGAAGAAAGCGCACCCTGTCTCACTTTGTTATACACATAAAAAAATAATTAGACTCTCAGCAGGTTTTAAAAATAAGTCTGTACAACCTCACACAAGCAACATATCACTTATTACTGGGTATCCTCGCTGATTCCTATAACGCCTGGATTCAGCTTCTGATCATCTATCAGTACTGACACCGTGAGACTTGATCAGAGGTGTGAGCATTGCAGCAGAGGCCTTTGTGTCCAAGTAACTGAGGATAAAAACATGAAGCAGATTTTCCTGGCCTGGCTTTTTATAGCACCTTAAAATAAAACCATGAATCAACATGTGAACCTGATGCTGCTGAAGTGAAGCAGAGTTACAGAGGTGTGATTACAGCTGAGCAGTCATTTGTAAAAGTTTAGATGTCAGAGGCCGACAGCACTGAACACAACAGCAGACTGGTGTGTGGTAAGAAAAACAGATCTGATGGTAAACTGGTCTCTGAGGACACAGAGACCGAGAGCTGTGCAGGAAGTAACAGCCAAAGAATTCATGACGATGTTTCTCAAACGTGAAGCGCAGTTTGATCTTCTTTTGCTGCTGGTTCAGTCAGAGAGATGAAACCTGCAGCCTCTGAATCTGAGCTGTCGGCTTCCAGCCGGACAGCGCGTCTGTGCCGTCAGGTGACAATCCCCGCTCGGCGTTTACATCTTTGTGCAGAATCTGTTTACCTGCTCTCATTTACTGTTTCAGCTGTTTGTTAATAGAAATAGTTTTTTGAGCTCTAAGCTGACACTCTGCCGTTTCTGATAAAATGCATTTATATTTAAAATTGGTTCAGGAGTTTTTAAACCCACCTCCAGTTTGGGCCATCAGCGAAGAAACCAAGTACACAAACACAGGCCTGACCTTTGACCTGCTGAGATCTGTTTTATCTAACCCGGTCTGCACTGCTGAGGTTAGCGGCGTCTGATCAGGACTAAGAGACTTGAAGCATAAATAACTATGTTTCAGTCTGAGGAAATCAGAAGGAATCACTGTCTGGATATTTTAAATCAGTCTTCACGCTGGGACGCATTTCCTGTGATCTGACAGGATCGTTAACAACAGGCAACACAACATGAAAGAAATCCAGCTGCTTTTTTTTACTTCTACACTATAGCACCTCCTCAGAGGTACTAATACGTCAGACTGAACATGCCTGGTTCAGAGGTTGAAGTGCAGCTTTTTGATTGGCTGCAAACTGAACAATAACCAAATATCTCTCCTGTGAGGGCATCAAATCAGCACAGAGACCCTGAGAAAAACCACCAATAATAGAGAATAAACAGAAACTGTAACACAGCAAACACAGAATGTGACCAACACGTCAAAGGTCAATCTTCTTCTGACGTCCTGCTAATCCCGTGGACCAACACACTGATGAAAAACCATCTGACACACATCTGTCAGCCTGCCGGGCTCAGAAATCCAGCTGTGAGCCTTCAGACTGCTCAGGACCAGTACTGAGACCAGCTCCGAGCCCGTGAGAGGAACAAAACGTCCCCACTTTGAGGCTGTAATACCTGAGACCACACACACACACACACACACACACACACACACACACACACACACACACACACACACACACACACACACAGGGTTTAATGAAGTAAAATCACAGGAAATTAGTTTTTATTTCCACCAAGAAAACTGAAATCAAACAAAAATCCTGATTCCCCCCCCCGACATCTCAGCAGGCGTCCAGCATCAATCCTGATGATTTATGGAGACTCACAGTTTGGCCAGCGTGGACGCCTCGCTGCTCATCTTTATTCTGACTCAGGCTACTGCGGCGCTTCGCTGTGACTGCCGAGTGGGGCCTCAGCCCGTGTGTTCTTCCTCAGGGCCGGTCCTGAAACCGCGCCCTCTGACCTCTCTGATGCTTTCTGTTGGGTTTCGTTCATGTTGTGCACCGGCTACATAGGGGCTGACAATGTTGTCGCGTCTGTCCTTTTTATCCTCCCTCGCTGGTGTCTGATCTTCTTTTCTGTGCCTCTTTGCTGATTTGATGAAAGCCCAATTAGGATAACCACACATTTTGAGTGCTTCCTTTACATGTGTGTTCCTTCTTTTTCCCTTCAGGCTTAGAGGGAACATGTTCTGCCCGGTGGTGTAGGGTCCTATGTAGCCGGTGTTTCTCTCTCTCATTATAGGTTCACGCCCTCGAAGGAGGAAACACCTGTGCCTCATCAGTGTGGATGGCATTCAAGCCAGGAAGCAACGGCTGTTCTTCGCTGGATCGTTGTGAGAATCACGTCAGTGAAAGTTGAGCGTCTAGCAAGTGTTTTTCCATGTAGTTGTGTGTTTGGAATCTAACGAGCGTTTCTTTGTGTGCAGACCCTCTGGACTGTTTTCCCCGGTGTTCCCTAAGTGACGAGTGTTCGAGTGGATTCGTGTTTGGATTGTTTGGAGAGAGACAAGAGTGTTCACCTGGATTTCCCCCTAAGTAAAGAGAAACGACACTCCATCATTACTTTAAGAACTGAAGGTCAGTCAGTCCGTGGAAATGCTAAAACTTTGAATGTGTCCCCAAGTGCAGTCTCAAAACCAGGTGCTACGATGACACTGGCTCACCTGAGGATGCCCCAGGAAAGGAAGACCAAGAGACCCCTCTGCTGCTGAGGATACATTCATCCGAGTCACCAACCTCAGAAATCCCAAGTTGACAGCACCTCGGAGCAGAGTCCAGATAAATGCCACACAGAGCTCCAGTAGCAGACACATCTCTACATCAACTGTTCAGAGCAGACTGTGTGAATCAGGCCTTTATGGTCAAATAGCTGCTGAGAAACCACGACTAAGGAAAAGCAACAAGAAGAGATTTGTTTGGGCCAAGAAACACAAGAAATGGACGTTAGACCATCTGTGCTTTGGTCTGATCAGTCCAAATTTGAGATCTTTGATTCCACCTGCCATGTCTTTGTGCGACACAGAAAAGGTGAATGGACGGTCTCTACATGGTTCCCACTGTGAAGCATGGAGGAGGAGGTGTGATGGTGTGGGGGTCTTTTACTGGTGACACTGGTGGGGATTCATTCAAAATTGAAGGCACACGGAACCAGCATGGCTACCACAGCATCCTGCAGCGACATGCCATCCCATTAAGGTTGGGTGATATGTAGAAATTTTCCAACCAACAACCATCAGTCCAATCGCCAACAACAGGTGATATATTCGCACAGGAGCAGACTTTTTGATGGGCGGAGCAATGTAATCATGCATGGACTGATTTGTGCGTTTAGAATTTATAAGTTTTGTTTGGAGGGAATATTTTACCTACTTTTCTTGTTTGTTTCATAACATAGCTACTTTTTGGATTATTTATTTATCTGTTAACTTATTTGAGATGCGCCAAATTGCACAAAACACTTAACTTTTTTAATGCTCACTGGAAGAGACTTTGATTTTCAGCTTACTTTTGGTTTAATTTTGCATTTGTTGTTGGGTCAACTGTGTAAGACAGATAAACACGGTTATAGTGGAAAAAAGAAGCCAGTTTCTCTTTGTTTCCCTCCCGCCATTGTAGGTTTTTTAAATAAGGTTTTTGGATTTTTCTGAACATAGGCTACTGCCTTTCTTTCTTTCTGTTATGAGTTTGAGTAAATGAATCGCTGCATTTGGGCGCACTTTGAGGAGGGTGCATTTGCTTGCCGCTGGAAGAGGGTGCCATTAAAACAGTGCTATTATTTTTCCGTTGACTGCTTCTCTTAGCCTCAACCAACATTATCAGCAAACGTACTCATGGACAAATAAATAAATAAATAAATCTCTCTAGTAAAACTGATTGGTGAAAGGCTCAGCCTCAGTGGATATATTCGCCCAATCGCCCAACCTTACATCCCATCATTTATTTTCCAACAGGACAATGACCCCAAACACACCTTGTGTAAGGGCTGCTTGACCGAATGATGGAGTGCTGTGCCAGGTGGCCTGGGCTCCACAGTCACCTTACCTAAACTCAATGGTGATTGATGGTGAGATGGTTTGGGATGAGATGGGCTGCAGGTGAAAACTAGTAATGACTTCATGAACTTCTTCACAAGTAAAATGTTAACAATTAGAGAAAAAATGACTCAAAATCATCCCACAGATGTAATATTATCTACAGCTACTTTCAGTACCATTGATGTTATTAAGTTAGACTCTTTTTCTCCAATCGATCTTTCTGAGTTAACTTCAATAATTACTTCCTCCAAACCATCAACGTGTCTTTTAGATCCCATTCCTACAAAACTGCTCACAGAAGTCCTGCCACTAATTAGAGATGATGAAATCATGGAAAATATTATTATTTTTTATGATTTCACTAACTGAAAGGACATAACCCAGCTGAAATCAGCCGCTCCTAATATTACTCACTGATAAATCCACAGCAGGAAGTGATAAGGGACTTTCACAATAAAACCACAGATTTAAATCAAAGCTCTGACATATTTTAACTGACACCTTAAATCAGCTATTTGGTGTCTCTGAGATCTGGGTCCTTGTTTGGACCGAAACCACAGATTTCTCCACATTCCTGTGGATGATCTTTAAGTTCAGACTCGTGTGTGCTGACCTGTGATTGGCTCGTAGGGCCCGAACCTCCGCTCCCAGCCGCCGCCGGTCCTCCAGAGCACCGTCCCTCTCCATCTGCACCTTCTGCAGCTCCTGATTGGATGAAACACGCGTCAGTTACAGGTAATCAGCTGATTTCAGTCAACACCAGCAGCAGAGAGGCACGTTACATCAATCCACCCGAGGCTTCTGGGAGCCGCGCTCTGATTGGCCGACCTAACCATGTGTTTGTGTTTTAACTGCTCGTGCTCACGAAGAGATCAAGCCATGGCTCTCAGCGCTACTTCCTGTTCAAATAAAGGATTAATTAACTAATGGACTAATTAACTCTAACGCGTGTCAACACTGCGCGTAATGAGGAGGGGTTTACAGGTGCATTGTGGGAATCAGAGGGGATTTCTGCGTTTGTCGAGCACCGTAAATTAACGGTAATGATGAGGATTAGATGCGTTAGTAAGGCGCCGGCGAGGCAACGAGAGAGAGAGAGGACGCGTTTTAATCTGCATGGCAAAGGCAACAACACAGGAAGTGACATCATGACCAATCACAGCGTGTTTCAGAGTCTGTATCGTCCAGTTTAGGTTACGGTCGTGGATTAAACCTTAAACGAGGAGGGGGGAGTTCCTCTGGGCTGCGCTGCAGCAGGACCACAGAAGAAGAAAAGGCTGTTTTCATTTTAAAAGCTCTGCCTGTCTTTGTAATGATGTCATACTTCCTGTTTTTATGACCTGCTGAGCCCACAGTGAGGCCAGGCGGCAGTAAAGCAGCAGCAGTGTTTTGTAGTCCATATTCTGGGTGTTGTAGTTTATACATGTCACCGTCACAGAGTCCAGAGTCCTTGTGAACTGTACTTAACGTCACCATGGTTTCCACCGAGGTTGAAGTTTCTGACGAGTCATCAGTGAGCAGAACGCAGACGCCGCCGGAGCGCTGCAGCTGCCAGAAGGACATGGGTGATGCCATCGTGGTGAAGTCAGCAAGTCTGCTGAGAGGATGCAAGGATGTGCTGGACTGAGTGGAGCCATTTTTAATGGGCATGAATGAATATAAAAGGCAGCACGGTGGCACAGAAGGCCCTGGGTCCGAATCCACCGTGTGGGCGGGGCCTTTTATGCTGCATGTTCTCGCCAGCTTCCTCCCACAATCCACACACGTGCAGTTAGTGAATGGTTGTCTCTGTCCCTGTGCTGGCCCTGTGACAGACTGGAGACCAATCCAGGTGTGCCCTGCCCCGCGCCCTATGGTAGCCGCGATAGGCTCCACCCCCGTCACTGTGAGAAGGATAAGGAGAAGAGAATGGATGGAGAGATGTACTTTTTATTTATTATTCGTTATACTTGTTCTGTATTTTACGAGTGAATGTTGTATTTCTTTAGAGGAGCCGACATCATGATTAATGAATTTCCTTCATGGGAGTTCGGAGGGGGCGGAGCTCGCACTCTGATTTTAATCCCTATAAAGACCGTGTGAAGCGTTTTGTTTTACAAACATGTTTTAAATAAAGTTTATTACTTTTTGTTATTTTATTCCTTTCAAACAGCTGACCACTCCTCCTGTATCTTCCTCCCCTCTTGTCCTCCTCCTCTGCGACTCTGCACAGGGAACTGAATTTGTGGACAACCGCGGCGGGCCACCGGCGGCGGGCCGCTGCATCGCGCTTTTGCGTCGGGCTGTGTCTTTGGTCAGACTGTGTGGAAGTCAGCCGCAGCCTGATCCCGACCTACTCCCCTATGCTAATCGAAGCCCTCGAGGTCTGGGAGTTTAAAGCGAGACATCAAAAGAGGAACCAAACCCGGAGAGTCAATATGTGTCTTCTCCAGCCGGGCCGGAGGAGACGCTTCAAAAGAGCTGCCCGACTTATTAATCAGAATAATTTCCAAATGATGTGAGGAGCAGGCGGGAACGACGCCGCGCTGACCTTTAACACGACGAGTTAAGGTCAACCGAAGAGGGAGGACGGGGGAGGAGGTAATAAAAGGAGCCCGCCCGAACCTTTACCACCAAAGAGGGGAGCTGTCTTTAATTAGCATGGAGGAGCAACAGGACAGGAGGTGGAGGTGGAGGTGACAGAGGCACGGGGTGAGGAGGAGGAGGGAGGGAGGGGGGTATATGAAAGGAACTACTTTGACCTTTAACATGAGGAGTGTGTGTGTGTGTGTGTGTGTGTGTGGTGTGTGTGTGGAGGGGGGGGGCTCAGGATGTGGAGGTGAGGACGAGAGGAAACTTTAATTATCAGAAGGAGGAGCGCGGCGAGGAGTAAATGAAACGCTCCTCCTCTTCCATTGACCTTCAACATCCACACTGTAACTGTACTGACTGTGGGAGTAACTGAGTACTTTACTCAAGTACTTCAGGATCACTGATATTGGTTTTACTTTTTTGACTGCACAGACCTGACAGACGGAGCCGTCAAAGATCAGTAATCGATAATCAATCAGAGAGATGGAAAGCGGCCTGGATTTATCGAAGGTCTCCGCTGAGTCGATCCAGGTTCACGGATGGAAGCCCAGAGGTCAAGTGTGCAGAGGACGGCTGTGAATGCTGTGTTAACGTGTACGTCTGCGTGGAAACGTTTTGCGTGCGTTGTAACGTCTGGTTTCTGGTGTCGGCTGCGGCGGCTCTCTGGCCGCCTGGCGTTAATTTGCGGGCAGCTGCTGAGTTTGTGTGTGAAATTAAAAAGCTCTCCAGGCTCTAATCCCCACAGAGCCCTCAGCCTAATTAACAGGCTTCAGCAGGAAAAACGATGGCGCTACATTAATAACAAAATTTAATCAGAAGAAGAAAACAGACGCAGGCAGAGCAGCAGAAACAGATTCTACCGAGACTCGACTGAAACAGAAACCTCGCATCAACAAACAACAAACTTTAATCAATGAAACTAAAACCCAACGTTTCCATGTTTGTAAAGGACCTCCTAAAAATCAATAACTGCTCAACTTAAAAATGTAATTTCTTTGATTAAATTTAAAAAAATCAATGATCTAGTTTATTCTGACTGATAAACTTTGATGATGTGTCTTTCCTTGCTTCACACTTTGTCACTTTTAGTGTGAAAGGAGCTAGAAGAAAGAATACTTTAAGAGGTAATGGTACTGAAGTGTTAAAAATAGTGTTATTGTAGGCAAACATCCAAATATTGACCAGGGGTGTGTGTGTGTGTGTGTGTGTGTGTGTGTGGTGTGTGTGTGTGTGTGTGTGTGTGGTGTGTGTGTGTGTGTGTGTGTTTACCTCGCTTGCCTGCTGCTCTCTCTCTTGTTCCAGGCGTTTCCACTGCACGCAGACAGGGACAGAGTTAATCTGCAGTTACTGATCGGACCAATCTGCAAACGCACATTTTAACTCATATCTATAATCAGTCATTCAGCAATTGATCCTAATCAATGAGCTGAGCTGTGGGCACTCGGCTCTTTCAGCAGTCCGAAGTGTAGAATCATGTTTTTACAGTTTCCTCATATATTGATTCACTGACACGCTGAAAACACGTGATCATTCGAGCTGAACACCTCAGCTTCTGTCTGACTGATGGTGGAGTTTTTCAGCCCTGAATTCTGCCTGCAGACGTTTTAGGACAGAAGCCTTAGGGGTCACAGAGGTCAGAGGTCAGCACTTAGGCCAACCTTAGGCCGCAGCTGTCAGAGCAGCTCTGATTGGTCGTCACGGTTATGTAAGATTCTGGTGTCAGAAAATCAGGAAACAGGTGAGAGGAAGCAGGTGAGACAGACGCCTGAAACTCCGCCTCCAGTTGCAGGCATTAAACAGAATCACAGACGGGTTTCACCTGTGACTTTTACCACTCAATGAGCGTGGAGCTCATGGAGAGAAAATAAGGCCTTTACCAAAGTGTTTAAATTCCCTCAGGACTGCAACAACATTCAAATGCATTGCACGCTGATGTCACAGCCACAGGATATCACCACGGTTACAATCACATCACCATCACAACCACGATGACCACCACAATCATCATCATTGTTACGACCTGTGGCCATAAAAAGTCTGTGTGAGCTGCTGTGTTTCTCTTTACTGTGTCTCTCTGCAGGTCCTTCCCCTAATGAAGAGCAGAGAGCTGCTGATTGGACCGTGGTGACTGCGTTCAAAAACCCGCTCTGACAGCTGCCAGGAGGGAGAGAGAAGCAAGCGAGCAGCTTTGACAGCAGACGCGGACCTGGACTCCAACTTTTTGGGTTACTTTGTATCTGTGTAAGCGTGCTCTGTGAGAGCCGCCACCTGCGGGTATAAACTCAGTGCTTATGCATAAGCACTGAGTTTATACTTATGCATAGGCTGAAGGGGTGAGCTGCTGAAGGGGTGAGCTGCTGAAGGGGTGAGCTGCCTTTTCTTTTGAACTGTTTTGTTAACTCAAAAGACACGACGTCGTACTCTCATTCCCAGCGCTTTATTCGTTCTGCCATTTTACATACAAACAACAACAACACTTCGCGGGCAGGTCACGCATGTAACTATCTAGCCACTTCTGACCACAAACTGTACGTGTACATGCAGTATCAATAATGGCTGACCCCAGTGCCTCAGTCAGCAAGATTTCAGAGTCTGGCTTTAGTGTACAAAGTAGAGATGGACCGATCCGATATTACGTATCGGTATCGACCTAAATTACTGGATCGGATATCGGAGAAAAATAAAAAATGTAATCCGATCCATTAAATATCACGAAAGCACCTCACAAAACTTGCAACACGCCGTAACTCGCCTCAGAACGTTAGCACGTCGGAGCAGTATGCATCACGTGATAGAGCGGCTGTGGCATGCGGGACCTGTCGGTGGTCTGGATAGCATTTGGAGCTTCGCTAGCAACCCGGCATTTCATCTCCGACAAAGTTATCCCGAGAGAAGTAAAGCAAGTGTGTAAGTCCATCTCTGAATGTTTGTAAAGCATTCCTGCGTTAAGCTTAACAAACGATATATGGAGCGACTGCCTCTTCTTGCTGCTACTTCAATCATGAAACTGCTTAATGATCAGCTGATCGGCTTTTCTGTCGCGAGTCCGTCTCTCTTGTTTGTTTTTGGCCCACTTTGCACCAGAAAGAGGAAACCAACGGCTGAACAACAGCAGCACGTTTAAGCTTGATCAGCTGTTGTTAGAATGTATTTAATATTACTTTCTACTCGAGGATCTTTTTCTACGTAGCTGACGCTGGTAACTGTGCAGGGGCGGATCTAGCAAAGTTTAGCCAGGGGGGCCGATAGGGCATTAACAGGGAAAAGGGGGCACAAAGACATACTTTTCTTTCTTATTCTCATTTAAAATGTCTAGCTTTTAATAATAATTATCTGACACCCAAAGTTTTAATTTGATGTAAAATGAATAGAAGTCAATTACTGTATATAGTGACTATTAAGTCTAATATATATACCCTAGTAAGCTATAGTACTTTTTCCTTTGGGAAGGTACCATCTGTGCAGTCTGCATTTTTGTTGAAGAAAGATGTTGAATCTATTTAATATTTCTTGAAAATAATTGATTTCTGTGCATTTTTTTCACACTGCATCAAATTAAGGTTGATTACGTCGATTAAGCATCATGAGGTGGAGCGTGAGGGGTGGTTCCCTATTTTTTATTTATTTATTTTTGTTGTTGCTGGGAGTTGGAACCCTATTAGTTAGGTTGCTTAATATTTACGCTAAGTACTCTTTAAAATACCAGAATAGGGAGGATGGTGTAGGTTTAAGTTTATTAGATTGATCAGTATTGCTGAACTATGAAATATTTTTTTGTATACAGGTATAACAGAATAGCTTTAGTGTAGTTGTTGTTTTAAACTTGAGTATGAACTTATACAAAATGCAGCAAGATATTTAAAAAAAACAGTTTTGTTGATTAAAACACACTATATCGGATTCATATCGGTATCGGCAGATATCCAAATTTATGATATCAGTATCGGTATCGGACATAAAAAAGTGGTATCGTGCCATCTCTAGTACAAAGTAATGTTACACTCCTCCACTTTCCCATCTTCAGTTAGCTTTACTTGGTCACCATTATGATGAGGACAGTCTTTCGCCCAGTGGTAAGTGCTCTGACAAATAGCACATCTTGTTCGCTTGCCAAACTTGTCAAGTGGGTTGGTACCTTGTAGTGGTTGTCGCTGTCCACTCCGCGACGAAGTACCGTTGTTTCGTTTGTATTTGGGACCTCTTTGTTCCGTAAGGAAAACTGCATCTTGGTTCAGTTGAATTCCGCTGAAAACTCCGGTTACTTTCCCTCCGAAAATCCGTTTCAGTGCAGACTTCATAGACACAAACGTTAAGTCCGTGCACACTGTCGACTTTCCTCATCAAGACAAGCTGTATCTAGAAGCTTAAATGCTAGCACAGCATCAGGCAGCGTCATGTTGTACTTTTTCATCCGGTTATAACGCTGTTCAAAGTCTATAATGTAGTCTGCCATGGACACGCTGTGGTTCTTTGCAATGCAGTCAAAACACGAGTAGGCTTCATAAGCGCGATCTTTCTCTTCTCTCTGAAACACCGCGTCAAGTTTTGCAAGTCATCTTTGTCCAAATCTTCCGCGTGTATCTCCATGGCCGTATCTCTGGCTCTTCCCTCGAGCCCCAGCGCCACCGCGAGTGCCTGTTTCTTTTTATCCAGCTCCGTAACTTGTCTCCAGATATTAACTTCATTCTTCCAGCACTCGTATGGCCTGGCTTCATCAAGCTTTGGTGGTACTTTGTAATTTGAAACCATCCTCTGCTACCAATGTTAACTCAAAAGACACAACGTCGTACTCCGATTCCCAGCGCTTTATTCGTTCCGCCATTTTACATACAAACAACAACAACACTTCACGGGCAACAGCACTCTCGCGATATAACAGAAAATAACAAGTTAACATGTTTTCTCCTATTTCTGGGCTAGGAAGCGAGGGATAGTATTAGGGCTACACGATTAATCGTTAGAAAATCGCGATCTCGATTCATACTTATGTGCGATCTCATTTCCAAATGACAACGATTTAAAAAAAACAAAAAAACAAAAAAAAAAACAAAAAACGACGACGACTGTACCGCATTTTGATCCGGGACGTACTCTGCATGAAAACAAGCGCTCACTCTTCCTGCTCAACAAATGACAAGGGCAGAGCCTTATACCACGTGATACAGAAGCTGTGCCGCGTGATGCTAAAATTAGCAGGGAAAAAACAACGGAGAGCACGTCAGGGATGACGAGAGAGTGACAGGAGAAAATCCGTCCCGGTCAACCACCCAAACATCAATAATGGGAACCTTATACAGCGCTTCCCTATACACGTCGAACTCAAAGAAATTACGGAGGCTATCACTTATCACCTGACCAAAGATATGGCTCCCATCAACACTGTGCAAAACGAGGGATTTAGGAAAATGATCAACACCCTAGACAAACGCTACACAGTGCTGTCCTATTTTTCTATTGTTGCACTACCTGCTCTATACACGCAGTGTCGAGCAACGGTGGAGACGGAATTTCAAGCAGTACAACATTTAGCGGCGACAACAAAACGTGAGACATTTGTTGTTTTTAATGTTTATTTATTGTTTTTATGTTCGGTCTCAACTGTTACGAAGTTGATGTGCAGTTAATAAGTGCAATAAATATTTATACTGGAAAAGAAAATCGTGAGAGAATCGTGATCTCAATTCTAAGCCAAAAAATCGTGATTCTCATTTTATGCAAAATCGTGCAGCCCTAGATAGTATTGTCATTTGTTTGTTTTGTTTCTTTCTTAGGGTTTAGTTAGTTTTCTCTTAAAAAAATAAAATAAAAATAAAAATAAAGTTCTATCTTATCTTATCTTCTCTGGCGGGACTTAGTTGGTTTTGTTTATTATTTTGGCCTGGGTTCACCCTGGAGCTACGCTTCCTGACATTGAATAAAATCACCTTTTTCACCCATAGCTGGTTTCGGCTGTTTGGTTTGGGAACCAGGGCGGGTGCTTGCTTCTCTCTCCTCCTTCTCTCAACCTTATGTGCTTCTCTACACGCCTAGACTAAAGGCGTAACAACCATCTCAACCACCATCTTCATCACCACCATGACCATCATAATCATCACCATCACATCACCATCACAATCATCACCGCCATCACCATCATGACCATCACAACCATCATCATCACGACCATCATAATCATCACCATCACAATCACATCACAATCACAACCACCATGACCATCACAATCATCACAATCACATCGCCATCAAAACCACCATGACAATCACAATCGTCACCATCACAATCACATCACCATCACAACCACCATGACCATCACAATTATCACAATCACATCACCATCACTATCATCATCACCACTATGACCATCAAAATCATCACCATCATTATCATCACAATCACATCACCATCACAACCACCATGACAATCACAATCGTCACCATCACAATCACATCACCATCATCATCACCACTATGACCATCAAAATCATCACCATCATTATCATCACAATCACAATCGTCACCATCATTATCATCACAATCGTCACCATTAGGGCTGCTCAATTAATCGAATTTTAATCACGATTACGATCTGGGCTTTCAACGATCATTAAAAATGTCTGAGCCGATTATTAGCCCCTCCCTCATTTATCCGCGACACCTTGAAGGCCGGTCCGTGAAAATATTGTCGGGCATAAACCGGTCCGTGGCGCAAAAAAGGTTGGAGACCGCTGAGAGGACCCGAGGGAAGCTCGGAAAGCTAAGCAGAAGTTATTTGGAGAGGAGAGTGACTGCCGTTGGTTGAAAAGAGAGGTAAAAAAAAAACTTCAGTGGTGTTGCACACTATTTTATATTATTTTTTAAAGTCATTGTTAAAACCCTTTAAAGCCGGTCAGACCAGCACGCTCCGTTTTGTGTAACCTTTTTAAATCCCTGTAGAATCTGAACCGTGTAAGCTAGCGCAATAATTTGTTTTGCATATGAAACCGGAGGAGTTGTACTTACATCTGATGCCATCAGCTTGTCCTCGGTCACGGTTTCCTTCCACATATAGCTTTGCAAAAATTGCATAAAAAGCGCTTGCAGGAACAAAAACAGAAACAGCTTTGCCGATCCAATCAGCTGTTCGTAACACTTCCCACAGTGAAACAGACGTCAGCTCGAACTATCACATGTCCGCCATTTCCTGGCCGAAACCAGAAGTGACGTCATTTTCGCGGAAAATGTAGTTTTTTACTTGTAGGCCTTAAAAGCCGATACTGGTCATGTTTGACTTTTCTGAATAGTTTCTGGGATGTTTGCACTGCTGGAAATAGTTTATTTTGATGCTGTTTTCTTTGCAAATTTGCATCATAGGATTGTTTTTTCGTTTTTCCTGCAGTATATAAAAATTGCTGTATCTCCAAAATAAAACTATGAAGACACTCAAAATAAATTTCCTGTTGTTGTAAACTATTTTTTGCAACTTTTTTGTATTTAAAGTTTTGAGGGATAAACCTCTTAAATTTCTCCAAGAAGAAATATATGTAAAAAAAACAAAAACGATTTTCAATTTTTTTGTAGTTTATTGCACTTTTTTGCAATTAATGTAGTTACTATGGACTTAATGCATACATATTATTAAAATATGGGCTATAACAGTTGTATAGCCACTTGAAATGCTCCCACAAATGGCACTACAACATGTAAAAAAATAATATAAGCTCTGGCGGACTTGGTTCTATGGTAGGTCTTAAAGGGTTAAATAAATATCGTCATATAATCGAGATCTCAATTTCAGTGAAAATAATCGTGATTATCATTTTTGCCATAATCGAGCAGCCCTAGTCACCATCATTATCATCACAATCACATCACCATCACCGCCATCATCACCGCCATCACCATCATCACCATCACATAGAGCTGGGCGATAGAACGATAACGATATGTATCGCGATATAACTTTTACTCGATAGAGAAATTAAGCTATCGCGATAGACTTCGCCGCTCTTGTCCTCTTAAAAAAAAAAAAAAAAAAAAAAAAGGTCAGCCAATCCAAATTAAGTAGCGCAGAGCCGAACCAATCACAGCCGCAGCGTCACGTCGCGTGACTTGTTACGTACAGCACAAGTGCCAAGCCACACGTGTGTTTGTTTGGGAAGCAGCCAGTGCGTAATGGAGGAAATGAGTGTGCCGACTAAAAAAATCAACCGAGCGTGACCGAAGAGAAAACAGATGATGGTTCCAACGCCGGAGAGATTGTCGAACGGAAGAGCCATAGAAGTTCCGTAGTGTGAAGGTATTTCGGCTATTTCAAGTCTGACAAAAAACAGAGTAGCGTGCACTGCAAATTGTGCCGAAAGCAAGTCTGGAAATACAATAAACTGGTGCATGCGTCACACTGTGCGCCACGTTATTGTTTCGGTGAAATGAATTTCTACAATACTGTTACTGTTAATTCTACTCTCTGCAGTGTTTAAATGCTTACATATACACACAGTTACTGTCCCTCCACACATACGACTCAGTTCTGCTTCTATGCCCCAGCTTTGTTTACTTTTTCCCACCGAGGCTTCTAGACTTCTGATTGGCCAGTATTTCTGCACGGTTAGGAATCTAGCGCCACCTGCTGCTTTGGCATGTTCATAGCAGCGTTTTCCTTCATTTCTGCCTTTATGTGTGGACGGGATTATTTTTTAAAACGAAAACGGAAAATCTCCGTTTTCAAAAATACCCGTGTACGTGTGGACGTAGCCTCAGTCTCTGACTGGAAGCGCTAATTCGTCATTCGGCTTTTGTCAGACTAAACTAACTGTTAAAACTGTTTGAAAAGCTCAGCTATACAACAAGGAGAGATTGAGAATTTCCTTTTAGTTCTCAGTTTATTTGATATTGACAAAAGTTAGTCAGTTTTGTCTGTTCTTCTGTAAAACAAACTAAGATTTATTTTTAGAATTAATATTTTGTTTCTAAGTGGAATTGACAATTTAGTCTGTTTCGTTTGTTCTATTTTGAAACTTAAACGCTTTAGCGGCTGCCTTTTGTGTAGTTTGCAATATTTGCCTTTATTTATCTGAAAAAGTCTCATGTTCCTTAAGTACATCTACCCTGTTGAACTTATTATGGGAAATAAATATTTAAATAAAAACAAGCTGCTGATTATTTCACATTTTACTTGTGAGCAACGGCACATTTAAATCTTACAAATATAGTTATTTGGCTTATATCGTGATAGATATCGTTATCGCCTGAAATGAAAAAAACATATCGTGATATGAAAAAATCTCATATCGCCCAGCTCTACCATCACATCACCATCATCAACATCATCATCACCATCATTATCATCACAATCATCACCATCACAATGACCATCAGGATGACCATCATCATTGTTTCTATTACATTGAAGTAAAATCAGCCAGTTAAACTCAGATTTGTTGCGTTTGGGTGTAATCCGTCGGGCACAGCTGTCTCCAGCTGTTTCTGTCAGTAAGTGAGGAACGAAGGTCTGCCTGTGGAAATCACACCGCCTCAGTGTATGGCAGCGCCGGCTGAGCTTTAATAATGCTGTAATAATGTTCTAATAATGTTGTAATTACCTGATATTAGCTCAATAAGAAGCTGCAGCTTCCCTCTGAGAGGGAGAGGAGCACACACTGACTGAGCGCGCTCAGGGACAACTCTCTCCTCTCTTCCCCTCCCTCTTTTCTAATATTTCCCAGAAGCCTTGGCTGCAGGGGGAGATAATCCCTGAGAGATGAGTAGAGGGAGCGGTGGCGGAAGGGGGGGGGGGGGGGGTTGGGGTGATCCTCCAGCGTGGAGTGCACTCTCTTCTTCTTCTCCTGCAAGGATTACAGCGGCATTTGAAACATATTTCACCGCGACGCAGCAGCAGAATGAGGGCGGGATTATGGTGTTACTGTGGAGGGGTGGTGTTAACGCAGAGGGGCGGGGTGTTAAAAGATGGCGGAGCACTGATATTGTTGGGGGTTAGCGGCAGTAGCCCAGGTGATGCTGAAGTGATGCTGATACGGTGGCAAGTTTGGGGGGGGGGTTAATGGAGGCAGAGTGGAGGTGTGAGAGGCTTAAGATGCGAGGCCGCATGGGGCGGAGCCAGCAGAGGTGAAGGTTTGAAGGAGATCATAAACACTGTGAGCGCAGAGCAGCCAGGAGAGGAAAACATGGAGATGTGCAGGGAGACGTCAGGACCTGCAGTTCCACTAATGTCCACTAGGTGCTCTGACCCAGCCTGTTCACATGTGTAAAAGATTCAAAGAAGAGCATTTAACGTGTCATCACCGCGCTGACATCAGCAATCAGACGTCAGGTGACTCAGTATGCCGTCGTGTTGACAGCAAGTATGAGCAGAGCCAGTGACACAAGTGACACCTGGAGACTGTAAAAGTTACTGCCCCGTCAGGTGAAGCTGTGCTCCTATTGCTGCTGAGTGCTGCACACCTGAACAGGTGCAGAGTTCTGGATCCTGTTAGTACGGACACTTTCCTTCTTCTACTCCAAAATTTGCCACTTCCTTCCATCTTCATCAGGTCTCATCACTCCTCTGCTTTCCTGACGGCAGTTGCCATGGTTACTAGAGCTCAGCTGTGCTGCTGCAGGCCTGTTCCCATGGTGACCACAGTCTGTCAGATGAACAGATAAAGGTTTTTCAGATCTGCGAGCAAATCAGGAGGGGGTGGAGCTTCTGAGCCCGCCACCCGCACGCGGCATGCTGGCAGCGCCGATCCTGCTTTCCGAGCCCCCCTTGGATTGCCCCGTTCTCTCCCCCCCACAGAGACCGGTTTATGAGTCTGGGTGCATTGTGGGTAATAATTCTCTGTGGGTCCTGTAATAAACTCTGTGAACTGAGCGCCGATAATAATCACAGCCAGAGACCGCAGGAACACCTTTTCAAAGTAAAAGTCCAAACTCTGATGCCCGTAATCAGCCCCCAATCAGTTGTTCTGATTGATTATTTACCAAGTCTGACTCAAACTGGCAAATCTGAAGGGAAGCCTCTGAATGTGATACAACATCATCTACGCACAGGCGGCTCACCGTCAAAGCCAGGTTCAAAGGTCACAGTGAGAAAATACAAACATTTACAGAGATGCTCTGAGTTTCTGTGCTTGCTCTGACATCACGAGAACGATCGTTTAAAGACCCCGCCCCCATTGGGACTGCTTGGTCAATGTCAATAACAGCAGAGATGGCCTGTAAAACAATGTTCCCGCCATTTGGCCACCATGACTTCAGAAGACTGTACACAATGATGGCTGAAGCAGCCAATCAGGAAACGTGACAAGAAATGATCACTAGTTGATGAATGTGTGTGTAAGGCAGTGTGTGTGTGTGTGTACGGGTATTAACATCTTTGTGGGGACCAAAAACTGGAAGATTACCATACCTTGGGGGCAGCAGTCTCCAACCTTTTTTGCGCCACGGACCGGTTTATGCCCGACAATATTTTCACGGACCGGCCTTTAAGGTGTCGCGGATAAATACAACAAAATAAAACTAGTACCCGTACCGAAAAAAAGAAAATTTATTCATAACACACGTGAAAAGACCCAGGAAAACCGAGTTAACGATAAAAACGATAACAAAATAACGCTGAAAACCGATAAAAACCCTGAAAACTATACATTTCACACCTGAGCCTCAACTCTCGCGGCCCGGTACCAAACGACTGACGGACCGGTACCGGTCCGAGGCCCGGGGGTTAGGGACCGCTGCCTTAGGGGACCACAAGGATATAAATACACAAAGGGACAGGGAGTATGACTCTGTCCAGCTGTTGCCTGATGTTAACCTCCACACCAGGAGAAGAGGAGATGTCACCCAGGTGTGAGCAGGAGTGTGTAGTGTGGGGAGGGAACACACCTGCAGTCTACCTGTGTGGCTCATTTTAATATCAGTGTGTCCATCAGAGGTGGTCTGTAAGCCACACACACACACACACACACACACACACACACACACACACTAGGGCTGCCACGATTTGTCGACTAGTCACGATTACGTCGACTATCAAAATCGTCGACGACTGATTTAATAGTCGACGCGTCGTTTGAAGCTTTGTAAGATCACAAAAGACGCAGGAATAATAGCAGGATTTAAGAGTGTAATAACGGACTGAAACAGAAGATGGCAGCATTGCATGTACAAGGATGTCAGCTACCGCTAAACCCCGAAGAAGAAGAAGAAGGAGCAGCTGTGTCCCAGAATTCATAGCGCGGCCCAGCGCAGTTTCCAACAATGGCGGCAGCTAGTTAGTTTTAATGTTACTCTTATTATTCTTTCTGGGTCACAAAATAAACGTTTAACATATTTTCAGGCGAGAATGTAGCTGTGTAAACCTCAAATATCTGCTCAGTTTATCAGGACACCACATATTTTCAAAAGCGCTCCGACGTTTTCGGAGACATCTGTTACCCACTAGCTCGTTAGCGAGCCGGGGGCTAGGCTCACTAGCGCCGTGAGAACACCGGACTCCCCGCAAATCGTTTTCAAACCCACCGCCGTCTTTCGCTACTCAGGTTAAATATATATGAGTCACTTAGATAACTTAAAATGTTATTGTTTGGCTTTTTTTTTTTTGTATTTTATTTGTTCCTGAGTAAATCAGTTTGTCTGAGATTAAAGTTATAGTTTTTACACAGCTGAATAAACGTCAAGCAGACAACTGATTATCAGAAGTGTGAGATGCTCCAGAATATACTCCAGTGTCCTGTTATATTTTAGATAGCAAGGAGTTTATTAAACTTCACCGAAACAATCTGCAAATTTCATTAAAATTTAATAAACTATCATCTTGTCTTTATTTTTAGTTAGCACAGACCTTAAACACTTAAAGCTGTAAGCTAATGATAGTTATATGAGAGCAGATGCTGCTGGTGCAATAAGCTGTAGTTTTACGTCCAATGGATGATGATCTGATTAGTCGACTAATCGCAAAAATAATCGGTGACTAGTCGACTATCAAAATAATCGTTTGTGGCAGCCCTAACACACACACACACACACACACACACACACACACACACACACCACACACACGTGAGTAACAGCAGGTGTTCAGCAAACAGCGTGTCGGCTCGTCTCAGTCTGCTGTCAATATTTGTGTCTCTGTTTTCACCGCATTCTAAATATTCTCGTTCACATTCAAACTCAAATATTTGAGGTCTGAGCACCGTAACCCGGGCAACCGGGTTAAACACGCCGCTTAGCAACGCTGCTGTCAGAACACGATGACGTAGAGAAACCTGCAGCTCGCGTTTGTCACATGACCACCCAGATTTATGGCACAGGGAGGAGACCCTGCAGGGTCACATGACTGCTCTTAAGAGTCTGTTCTTATTAATAAGCGGGAATTTCTCGTGAAGACCCTCACGGTGCACTCAGGATCATCACGTCAGTCTGGATGACCTGCCAAACCAGAACTGGGTCCAGTCTGGCCCGAGTCATTAAAATCCTGCGTTGGCTGACTCTGT